TGTTCCTCTCTATCAAAATCAAGGGATCGAGGCAGCGACGAGTGCCCGGGGGAAAAGGATAGGATGTTGGGGAGCGGCCGGTTTTGTAAACTGCAAATTCGATGGGCAACCACCCGAGTTGGCGAGGGGGCGATGAGACAAGAACAGCAACGGGAGGGTTTCGCTGGGCAAGTGGCCGGGTTGCTGGTTAAAAATACCAACGCTGGCATGCCAGGAATCGAGAACCTGCTACAGAAGCCAAAATGCCAAAGCACAGAGCAAGCACGAACCTAACCAAAGGAAGAAAGCACGAAGGGCTCAAAGCACCGAAAGGACGAAGCGCATCGGCAAACAGGCATGTGGTGCGACGGGCATGCCACCACACACGACTGCAAGAGTCTTGCTTGCTGGTCCTGCTCTTCGTGCCTGTCTGTGCAAGGCGAAGGAAGCAAGCGGAGCGGAAAGGCGAGACCATCTGGATTGGCATGATAGGGATAACAGTATGGTTCACCCAAGCCCCCAACACAAAGGCACGTTCACTTGTGGTGGTTCGTACCCACGACCCCGAGTTTGGTCTTTGTGCCCGCCCACTTGTCCTCCAGCAAACATGCCACCTTGCCCGCCTCTTCCTTTGCTTGACTAATACGGTGCCTTTTTTTTGGAACCATGATAACAGGCCACATGGACGACTCTGAGCGAGGCAGTGCGCCACCTGCTTGACATACCCAGTCACACGTCCAAAATCAGCAGCACATACCGCAAAACCACAAGCATGCCGGTTCCGCTGTCACGGCTCCGGTGTCGTGGAAACGGAGCAGACTACACCAAGGGAGCGGTCAAGAACGGCGACCGCAGACATATATGCATGCATGCATGTCAAGCTGTCGGATGGGTCTGCTTGCGTGTGTGTTGGTTGGTTGGTCGGTTGGTTCACGTCATGCTTGGGAGTTGTCATGAAGACGGGTGGCCAAAGCTATGTGGGCTTACACATGGGATCGTAGGCGGACAGGCTGCCTCATGGATTTGGGAGATCTTTTCTTTCCTTCTCTTCGCTTCTTCTTTGTTTTGTTGGCTGCTCGCAAGGGCGCGACGGACGAGCTGGTCTCGTCGGGAGCCTGAATCGTTCATCTTTCCTCTCCTCGATTAGAACGTTGTTCATGTGTCTGCTAGCGTCAGGATGATGGGGTCAAAAGGATTAAGCTCAGAGCTTCGTCGCGTGCCTGGGTCAGAGCAAGGGGCTCTGCCAAGACGGTGATGGTATCCTGCACTGATCCGCCGTCGCCGGGGTCGGAGGCTGGTGGGTCTGGGGCGGAAGGGGGGTGGGCTTGCACGATCACAGGCAGCGCCTGCGCACTCTGCGCATCTAAGCGCTGCATGACCATGCCATCATGGCTACTGCTGCTCGCGCTTGGGGGCCATGTCACGCGCCACACCGTCGGCAACACGTCCACAGCCAGGTCCAGCGCTGCGGGTAACGTCGTCTGGTCGACGTCGATGATCAAACAGGCTTTAGGTGGTAAACGAGCCAGCAATCGCTGACAAAAGCCACAACTTGGCGAAGTAAAAACCACATACGCGGCTGTGCCAGCTGCGGCCGGTGCAGGCAGCCGCGACAGCACCACGTGCCGCAGCGCCGTGGACAAGTCAAGCGGGTCAGCGGCTACGCTGGGCCCAGCAGCCAATCGCACGAGCCAGTCGGTTACGCCCTGAGCCGTCCAAGTGCTCAATCGATCCATGCCTAGAAACGGGTGGGGTACCCATGGTGGTTCATGGTGCAGACAGGTGACGAAGTAGCGAGACCGTGGCTGGGACAGGTGACCAGCGATGCGCTTCAGGGAGCAGTCGCTTCCCGTCGGAAAAAACGCACTTTGGATAAAGGCCGGGTTGGAGTTGGAGGTCGATTGCGTACAAAGCACCCGGCCCAGAACCGCGCTCGTGTTGAGCAGCACCAGTGCCGGCAAATCCTGAAAACGCAGCGGGCACCGGAGCAGATTGAGGCTGAACTTGCCAAGCATTCTGCGACAAGCGAGCATGTGCGCGCTTCTTCGACACGCATACCCGCACAGTGAGCCCGTAATGCCGAAGTTGATGTGTGTAGCGACTGCCGTCCAGCCGACCGAAAACAAGCGGCAGACCGCAGGTGGCATTGTGCGCGCACGCACGCGCGGCGGCCCGCGTAGCTGCCAAGGCTCGCAACGTCCTTGTGTGGGAGAGGCAGTCGCACAGACACGTGAGCCGCTGCATAGCGGGTCGACACGAGACGACAGCCTTGTTCCAGTGAAGCAAGCCAAAAGGCTGGACCAGAATAACAACGACGACAAAAACAAAAAAACAACAAAAAAAACAACAACAACAACAAATAAACAAACAAACATACTCTTCTTGGGTAAGAAGCATGGCATCGGCCAACGGTAGAAGGAGAAGAACCACGCGTGTGTCCATATTCAAAAGCTGCAGGCGATCCACGTCCGAGGTCGCCGCGCCCAAGCCGACACGTACGGGAAACTGTTCAGCAACAGAAAAGAACAAAAGAAGCAGGGCTCGCCCACACGGGCGCATTGGAGTCAGTGGTGTGTACCTGGCCTAGTTCCGAGGCCCCTAAGCGTGCTACGGGCGTTTCACGTTGAACCACGTTGATAATTTCATCCACCAGCATGCTAGCATTGTCAAACCGAAGTGCGAGCACCTGTGGGTATGCCAAGCGACCAAGGCGTTTTCAGGTTGAAGACGAGAAACAGACGCAGCCTGGAGGCAGACGCAGAGATGCGACAACATGGCTGGGTGCCACCTGGCTGGCGCACCTGTGGCTGGCGATCGATCAAGGCATAAATTTGCCCTTTCCGTTTCAGCCCCAAGTGAGCGGCCAAGCCCGGGGATGGGACGACGTGCATGACCCAGCGATGCACATCCAGCGCTTCGCTGCGAAGCAGTGCAAGGCGCGTGGCCGTGGCCAATGCGGCTAGGGTCTCGGGCCGTGCTGGGACGTGCACGGCCAGGACCACATCGGCCCGGTGGCGCCTCGCCAGGTGCTCATATCCATGGTGCACCACAGTCACGGGATCTTGCAAGGCTTGCAGCATAGCGGCCAATTCCCAATGACGAAAGCCGGTTTTCAGCTCGTGAGACTCGGGTACTGCAGCTCGAGAGGCTTCGGTCAAGGGCTAAGCAAAGGGGCAGCAGGAACCAGGTGGCAACCCAGTTCACATGTAGGAGATGGGATGAAGGATGTGTTCAGGCGGTACATTGGAAGACGACACAGGAATCTGGCATCGTACGTAAAGAAAGTAGCGAGGGAAGCCCTGCGTGCCAAATTGCTTGCGACATGCCTCGGTGGCAGAGCATTCCAGTCGCAGGAAGGCGATACTACCAGCCGGCGCGCAGTGGTCAGTCCAAGCATCACGCGGCGGCTCGGAAAAAGGCCAACTGCGGTGACCAGCAGGATCGTACCGGTGCAACTGTGATTGCTGTGCCAGATCCTCGAAATGGGGCGCCGCCAAACGAGAGACACTGCACCATGAGGCATATAGCATCACAAGGGCCCAATCCTTATCCGAGCGCCCCTGTGAGCCATTCAAGCGAGCAGAAAAGAGCGATTGATTCTCAGTGCCATGACTACGCTCGTGTCGAGAAGAGAGAGAGAGAGAGAGAGAGAGAGAGAGAAAGAGAGAGAGGGAGTACAAAGCGACCCGCGGATAAGCCAAGGTACCCAGCCTGTTGTGGAGACGCATACCTCTAGCATGCCCAAGCTCACGTTGAGGAGCTGGATGGAACTGTCCAGGTCGATGACGGCCGAAGCTGACTTGCGCCACATGCGCTCTGGCCCCCAGACATCGGGTTGTGCCACGGCCACAGCCACGGCCAGCATCAGCAAGGCCAGGCCAAGTGGCCATCTGCGGCAAAGCATATTGACCATACCACGTCGTTTTACGCCCCCTTACCCTCTACCCGCCCGCTCCAGCAGCCGGATGCCCATGGCCCAGGAACGACCCGCGCTCGAATTCGACCAAAGATGAAAGCAAACGAATAAAGTGACGGTAATTTTGAAAATTTCAAATGTTTGGGCAAAACTGTAATCAAGTTTACACTTTGAAATTGAAATTGTTGATGTTACCACTGCACACAGAGAGAGAAACAGAGACAGAAGGAGAAACAGAGACAGAGACAGAGACAGAGACAGAGACAGAGACAGAGACAGAGACAGAGACAGAGACAGAGACAGAGACAGAGACAGAGACAGAGACAGAGACGCACACACATTCACAAAGAGAGAGGAGAGAGCGGTTGTTCCATTTCTTGTGGTACAACAGGACCGCGTCGCTTCGTCTCGTCGCAGCGCGCGGGTCAGTGGTACGTTGTGCATGATGCTTGGTGGAGACGGGTAGCCCTATTAGAGCTTCTCACTTTGATCGTTCCATCCCGCCTGGTTTCATCGAGGCACAGGGGGAGCGTTGGGATCGCACCGATTTCGATCGAGGTTGGTCGAGTGCTGTGCCATGCGTGAGGAAAGGTGATGGTCACTGGGACCGTGAGAGCTCCACCTCGCTCAGTTCATGCATGCACGGTAGATCAAAATCCGACGTTTGGGTTCTGGCACTGCTGCTCGGCTTTTCCCGGGATTCCATTGCCCGTGCTCTCCGAGCCCCTGCCTGTCCTCGTTCCCTTCTGCTGGAGCCATCGCTCACGGTGCCGCCTGATGGGAAACAGCATCAGGATTTGACTCTGACTCATCATGGCGGTACGCAGCGCGCGCAGTACAGCACAGCACAGCACAGCACAGCACAGCACAGCACAGCACAGCACAGCACAGCACAGCACAGCACAGCACAGCGCAGGTCCCCACTGGCTCCGCCCAACATAGTTGGTCCGACTTGATTGAAAACGCCATGCTTTATAGGAGGTTGACCAGGAGTTGGCGCGCTTGCGCAAACAGCAGGCAGAGTTGCAGCGCCGCCGCGAAGCTCGCCAGGCTGCACTCAAGGCGAGCAGTGCCGCTACGACCACTAGCACCGCTGCCAAAGGCGTTGCGTCAGAAAGCACGGCCACACGCAGTGCTACTCGCGACGATACTCGTTCACGCCGCACTGTTCAAGGCAATTCATCCTCTGACCGTGCCGACACAACTGCAACTACAAAGCCTCCCAGTGGGGAGCCAAGCAGCACCGCAGACTCAACGACCCCTGGTTCGTTCAAGCCGCTCAAGCCGCTCGTCCCTGAATTCTTGTTGTCCTCGCCTCCCTCTCGACCCTGCCTTTGTCCTTTGCTCTCTTTGATTCACGTGTCATGCCCGCAGCCGCGGAGACCAAAACCACCGCGTCACCCCGGGACACCCAGGATGAGGTATGACACATCAGACGTTCCAACTGAGCTCAAAGCCAAAACCTGACTTTGGCTCTCCTTTATACACCTGCCAATGGATTCAGGAGCTGGCTCGAGCGACCGAGCAGAAGCGCAAAGAAGCGGACGAGCGACGCGCCAATCTTGAACGTCAGCTTGCCGAGGAGCAAGCCGCACTTGAGCGCAAACGAGCCCTCCTGGCTCGCCGACACGAGCGCCGAGATGCGCTTCAACAAACCAACGACTCGCCGACACGCCCGTGCGTTTCAACCGAAAATAAACAACTCGCGGTGCAACCCTTCGTTTTATCCTTCAAGTCTCACGTCTGTGTCGCTTGCTCTCCTCACCACAAGGCCCCAGTCGCTCACTCTCGAGCGCTCCGCGTCGGCCGATGCTGCCAAAGTCAGTTTGGTTCTTTCCCAGAAGCGTGTGCACCAAAAATATGTGGAAGCGTGGTCCTAACTGCAGCATTGCTTCTTCTCATCGCAACACCTCGCTTCCAGGACCGCGAAGAGGAGGATCCAGGAGAGTCAACGCCATCTCCTCGTCAAAAGCGGGTCAGTCTTACGGCCGCGGTAGCCTTGTTTGCGGCCAAGCGTTCATCTTCGAGCGTAGCTCATGTCAGGTGGTGCAATGCTTTAGGTTACTTTCGCCGAGATCCTGGTCGAGGAGAACCTTTTCACGCCGCCAAGTAGCCACGAAGCTTCGATGATTAGCGTGTCCGATGGGTCGGATCGCAACTTCAGCTCACCGCGTGCTACCACAGGCCAGTCCGCCGGGGCCACCCCTCTCAAGGCCGTCACCTCCGTTTCTGCCTCACATCGCGAGCCCTCCAGCCTGGATGGTCACAGCACCCCTCAAACCACGGCTTCCAGTTCCAAAACCGCCGACAACAGCAATGACCCGGATGACGATGACCTGGATGCCCTTTTTGCCGCAGCGGAGCAAGAACTCCACGGGAAGTCTAGCCGTCAGCTGAATTTGGAAGACATGTTAGATGACGCAGCGCTTGACGAGACTTCCATACATACAACGTCTACTCCCACCAAGAGTCACTCTTCGCAGGACCGGGCGGTGGATGAGGATGAAGACGATGGCTTGGACCCAAGTCAAGCCGTGCGCAGTCGTCTTAACCCCGTCACGGTCAGTTGAGACCTTGTCAGCCATCTCCAACGTGGCACCCCGCTCTTGTGTGGTTTGGGACTGTTTGTCGGTGGTGCTTTTCCGACGTTCTTTGAGATGGCAGCTTGCTGTCGTGACTCTACGGCCTATCGGGGCAAACAGATTTGGACCGCGGGCAGCGATGATGTACAGCTTTGACCACCTGACGCCCTAATCACCATGTGTTTCATTCCGTGCCCTCTGTGTAGACGAAGAGCTCTGGTGCCTCATCAGCCCCAAGCAGCCAGGACTGGCGGTAGGACTGTGGTCTGAATTGCTGAACAGGTGCCTTCGTTGTGCGTCTTGCTCATGCATAATCTGTGGCCAAACATATTGCTTGCTTGTTTGTTTGGTTTTCTTCACAGGACTGAAGTGGAAACGAATAAGGAGAAGCAGCGCAGTGCCAAAGTTCAAGCCAAAGCTGATGTTTGTTTTCCCTTCTCCTACTTTTGAGCAAGCGCGGACAACTGGGCCTGCCCATTTCCGAAACGACCAACTCATTGTACGCTGCTCTGGTTCTTGTCTATTTGATGCTGAATAGTTGGAGGCGGCTGTGGCACACATTCAAGATCCAGCCGAGCGACGCCGGGCCATACGTGAGCAAAAGCGTAATCAAAAGCGCCAAGAAGTGGGCCGTGACGCAGAAAAATTGCAAAAGGTCGGTCTCGCTTCGATCAAGTGCACTTTCGCGTGAGCAGAGGAGTAAGAGGAGAAAAAACACCAAGGAGCCGAAAAAAAAAAAAAAAAAAAAAAAAAAAAAAAAAAAAAGGAAGAAGAAGCTAGACTTCTAATCTGGTTCCGCTCAATTCTCGCTCATCTACTACACTGTTTCTGCTATCCTGTTGTCTGCACAGAGCGAGGCAAGCGTCCTCAGCCGGGCTCACAATCTAGATGAAGTGATTCTCAAGGAGGGGGGTCCACAATTACCACACACGCCAGAGAAGATCTCAATGGTGTCCGGTAGTCCCGAGACGCACCGTGCCCATGTTGGCCGCAAGGTCAAACGCCACCTCTCTGCCGAGCGTGAGTTTGCACGACCAAAGGCAGCTTTATTCACCTCTTGAGCTTGCTCAAATGCGCTGTTGTTGGTCTTTGTTCAATCCTGTTAGAGCGACTGCGCTTGGAGGTTGATGAACTGTTGAAGGAGATGGACGACGAAATTCATGATGAAGCAGCAGAGTAAGTGTTGTGTTGTTTTGGCACCTGGGAAGCCTTCGTCTACCCATTTGCTCCAGTTGCCCTACTAACCCACTTGGTTGTGTATCATATAAAAATGAAAATTCTTATTGAATTTCTGTTTTCATATCTCTAAACTGGCGTTCAAATTCCCACTGTCTCACTTGTGTTGGTCTGGACGCTCGCTCCAATCTAGAGCGGCTCTGCTGGAGGGTATCTTCGACGATGTAATTCCTGAGGAGGAAGACACGCCCGTGGAGCGTCTGCATCAGGTTCTCAAGGACGGGCAAGAACATCTTGTTGATCCACGCGCCTCGCCACGGTCTCGCGCCAGCCACGAAGCTAGCCCGTCGCCCCCGCGCTCTGCTGACACAAAGCCCAGGCCACCCATCTCCGATGACGTTGGGGCGAGCCCCACCCTGAGTCGCACACAGCATGAACCACCCACCGTCCCCAAAGCCACGCCGGTGGATGTTGATCAGCAAGGTGGCGTGCCCGACAAGGTTGCGGGTTCTCAGCCAACCCGAGGTGCCTCAAGCACTAAACTGGAGGCGGTTTCGACCTCCAAACCGGCCCTATCCGCGACTAGAGAGCGAGCGAGTGATGATGATTCTCCCCTCCAACGGGACGCGCCTGCCAAGCAGAACAGACCTGCCGTTCTCAATGAGGCAGAATCAGAGCTGGCAGCTTTGGAAGCACGGAGGTTGGCTCGTGCCGAGGCACGGGCTGCACGCCGTCGCGCCGCCGAAGCGGGGACGAACGCAGCGTCCGATCAAGCAGCCAACTCTTCAGCGCCTGCTTCAGCCTCCAATGTCGTGCGAGGTTCAGCAAAATCTGCCTCCCCGGCCGCCTCGGCCCGTACCCCGAATCAGAACAGCGCACGTGAGAGCGATGCCAAGCACGCCACCGTCCGTGACGCGCCTGTGAATCAGACTGCACACTCCAGAGAACGCCAGGCTGACCGCGCATCAGCGCCCCACCACGCTCGAACCCTCCACCTGAATGAGAGTACCACCGATGCTACGGACACGGATGATGCCCCGAGTATAGACAGCAGCGATTTTGATGCCATCAGCTCAGCTGGTGAGCGAAATCGCTTGGACAGCGGCGCTGCCATGTTGAAACGAAAAATGCTGCGCAACCGCGCGCAAAAAGTGAAGCCACCATCGCATCAAGCCCGACATCAGTTGGCCTCTGACTCTATGTTTGGTGAGTCAAGCACAGATGTGGAACCGGAACCGAGCACCAGTGCCGGCAAGAAAAGTGCCTCTCCGCCCGTGGCCGCCAAGCCACGTGGCGAGGCAACAGCCGGGGTTATTGACCCGCGTAAGCTTTTGCCACGAGAGAGCTATGATCGAAGCTCGCGTTCCAACACCGTCAGTGATCCGACTGGTTCTCGGCGCGCCCAGCGCTTGGCCGAGTCGGCAGCCAAGGCCCGTGGCATTCAGCACGACTCGGGGGCACATTCATTGGCCTTTATGATCAACCGCAAAGGAGGAATCACGGGTGCAGAGGGTCTGCGCAAGACCGGCTTGGACGTCACTCGCAGCTCCGGCTCCATCAGTCAGCGCCCGGGCCGTGGGTCCACGTGCACCATTTATCGCCTCAAAGGCCGGCGCACCATCACGTGCACCGAGTGCCAGATCAAGGATGAAGTCGAGTTGCATGATGGTGATGCTTACGTCATTGACACAGGCGATCGCATCTTTGTGTGGAAAGGCCTGGCGTGCAATAAACTCGAGTCGGCGCAGGCACAAGCCCTGGCCATTGATGTGCGCGACTCAGAGCGCAGTGGCCGTGCTGAAATGATTATGGTATCGCCCAGCGAGCTCACGGTGGCCGATGGACATGGCGGCTCGACCAGCGGTGTTGAGAAAGACTGCTACGAGGCACTCTTGAGTGCGGCAGGCAGCTCTCGCGTTGTGCTGACGGCCAGCGGAGCCGACGAGGCCGACGTGGACGGCGATTTTGAGGAGAGCATTGATACCGCGACGGTCATTTCGGAATTGATGCTTGAGGGTGAGACAGTGGTCGCTTTGGAATTGGCGCGACGCCGCAGCCACTTGGTGCGAAGCATGCTGAAGACGGATCGGTGCTACATGGTTACATGTCCCGGAGTGGTATATGTGTGGACAGGCCGCCAGGCGCATGGAAGCCTCAAGCTAGCCGCCAAAGCGCACGGCAAGGCCGAGGCAGGCAAGCAAGATTTTCATTATCGCGCCGCGGTCCAGGGGATTGAGCCGGCTGCATTCAAGTTTCTTTTCATCAAATGGGACACTGGCATTGACCTGGGCGTACGCGAGCAGCGCAATGCCCCACCACTCGAGAGCCAAGCTTTTCGAGCTCGGGCCCTCACTGCCAGTGGCGTGCTTCCCGCTCGCCCAGCCGCTTTTGAGAATGTCCGAAAGACGCTGGATCCTCACAAGGCGGTTAATTCAAATAACGAGGTGTACGCGTGGCGCGTCTTGCGCGACGGACTTGTCAAGAATGACTTGCCCGAGGGCGTGGCTCGTGACAAGCTCGAATACTTCTTGCGCGAAGAGGATTTTGAACGAGCGCTGGGCTGCACCAAGACCGCTTTTTTCGCCTTGCCAGCATGGCGTCAGAAGAATCTGAAGGCAAAAGCTGGGCTGATCTAGACATTGTGTTGATTCACATGTACATAAAGAAAGCTGCGTCCGCCTATTCGTACCCAACGTTTTCCAACTCTCAGGGGAGACACTGAACACTGCGTGAGGCTGCTCGACCAAGCAGCAGCAAGCCTTGTACCGGCTTGAGGAGTGGCAGTGAAAGGGTGTATGTGTGTTTTTTTTCCATGGCAAACGTTCTTGATATATCATGCTAGGCCGCGCTAGCGGTTGGAGTGGCCGTCCTTGCATGCATCTGCATGATGCCCGTGCGGGTTGGATTTGTTGATGCCGTACAGATGCAATTGACAGGCAAAATGTTCATAAGCAACGCCCACTGCACGTAAAAAAAAAAAAAAAAAAAAAAGTCTCTACAAACTCGAGAAACATGCAGAAGCCAACAAGTTTAGACAAGAAGAAGAAGAAGGGGACATGGTTTTGGTCATGCCTGACGTATTCTCATGCGCTTGCAGAAGTCGTGCTAGCCTCAGCTTCCTCGAGCGCCAATCGCGCAAATTGGGGAAGCACAAACGAGGCACTGTGGATGTCAGGGTTGTAGTAGCGCAGGTGCATGTTTCGCATATCTTCGGAGCTGGCGCGGCGCAAGGGCACGCGAAAGTTGGTCTCGCTGTTTTTGCTGCACAGAATAAATCCAATCTGACCGCTGCGTGTTGGTTGGGAGCGCCGTGCATTTCAAGGCATCAGCGGCATACACTCAATGAACAGGTGGCAATGAGTTGAGATTCGAGCAAGAAGGTACAGACCTAGGATAGGTGGGGATGGTCAAGTAGCCATAGTCGACGACCGGGTAGAGCGTACGGCTAAACTCCTGCATGCTCTTGATCAAGTCCAAATGCAACCAGATGCATTCGCCTTTGCGTTGATTGAGGCGAAGACACATAGACATTACGGTCACAAGAGGAGGCAGGTAAAGGTGAGAAGCTGGGCGGATGAAGCTGACGATGAGTCACGGCCAGCTACAAGGCAGAGGTATTTCACCTGCCCCTCTTGATCATACCTTGCGCGCACATGATGCCGCCGTCGCGCAAAGCAGAGCGGACCAGGCTGTAGTACTCTTTCTCGAAAAGTGAGGAGGCAGGACCTAAGTCAGAGCGCGCGGTTGCCATTGTGCACGGAAAGACGCATGTCAGCAGAGGCATAAAAGCAGCGATCCACTCTGCTCAAGGCAAGTATGGTTGGAGGAGCCATCAAGGCCCCGCTGGCGCCATATACCGATGGGGTCAGAAGAGTCTGTAATGATGACATCAAACTCCTGCTGGTGCTGCTTCATATACTCAAAGCCATCTCCAACGATAACGTTGGCCTGAGGGATCCCAGCACGGGACTTGCCATGAAAAGGTGCACATGACACCGAGGATGCCGAGCAAAGCACGGGCAAAGCTAAGAAAGGACGGCACCTTGGGGTGATGAAAGCTTTGGGCGATGGAGGGCAGATGCTTCTTGCACAGCTCAATGACGGTGCCGTCGATTTCACATTGAGTGACCGACTTGAGCGCCGGGTGTTTGAGAACTTCACGTAGTACACCACCGTCACCGCCGCCAATAATCAGCACCTGGCACACCAGGCCAAGGCAGTCGTGTGATGGGGTGCCTCACCCAGAAAGAGCTTAGATCAACCAGCAAGCCTCGCCTGGCTCGGTACCCCCGCCCTGCCCCCCAAAGCAGGCTTACGTGTTCGGGATTGGGATGCGAGAACATGGGCACGTGAACCATCATCTCTTGGTAGGAGAACTCATCGCGTTCAGTGATCTGTGGGCCGAGCAAAGATATAATGCCAGAAGGAAGGAACGGTGAAGAGTCATGGCCAACGAAAAAGCCCATGCATGTTCCTGTGAAAGGGTGCTCATTGATGAGAAGGGGCTGGGGTTGAGGGTTGATACCTGAATGACGCCGTCGAGACACAAGGCGTTGCCATAGGTCTTGCTAAAGAAGCAGGCAAGGGGAGTTGTATCAGTGGAGGGCTACCAACCGGCCTGAGGCCGTGCACGTGGCACGGGTGGGGCGTGGTTTAAGCTGCAAGAGATGGCCTGGGCGTCTGCGTGCATGAAACGTACGTTTTGAGGATCTGTACGTGTTGGAAATCAGATTGCACGTCCTCCAAGATCTCCTCGTATGCGAGTGACATTGCTTGGCCCGGCCACATCTCGGAGGAAACCTCAGAGAACCAGCCCTTGGCAAGACGATCCACCATGGCGCTGGTCACGTGCAAGCTAAAGATTTCAACAGACTTTCGGCGGTTGGATCAAGCCAGTGAGCAGACCAGAGCCCCAAATGGTGACCAGAAGCACGTCTAAGCTGAGACTTGAGCGCAACGAAAGGTCGAGCAATGCAAACAGCAGGTCAAGGCCTCCAGCGCACGTGATGGACATGTGCCTCGACTGCACCTTTTGATTCTCAGCACGCGCCACACAAAATACACACACAGCGTGAGAGAGACAGAAAGAGAGAGAGAGAGCGTGAGAGATAAATTGATGTGCACACGCACGGAAGCTTTCGAGAAATGTCAGCATGGGAATTGATGAAGTCCTGTTCGAATGCGTGTGTGTGTGTGTGTGTGTGTGTGTGTGTGTGTGTGTGTGTGTGTGTGTGTGTGTGTGTGTGTGTGTGTGTGTGTGTGTGTGTGTGTTCGACGACCGGGCTGGCGAGAAATGGCACCAGCCCGGTTGCCAAAAAGGAGGTCTACATGCAAAGCTCCAGATTGATCCAGATGCACATGGGGGTTATCGGCCATTTCTACTCGTGGTCGGAAAAGCCAGTTTCGACCAGCACACACGGGCCATTGGCAAGGGCTGGGGCGCCAGTTGCGCGAATTAGGCGGAGGGCTTCCTCAGATTCAGCACCCGGCTGGATCCAGATGTGGTAAACACCTGCAGCCAGCTGTAGTTCAATCAGGATCAAGCAGAGTATATGATGAATGTTGATGGGGACGAAGAGGGAGCAACCCACGCAAGCACAACGAGATGAGGACACAGAAGTCTGGAGGCACGAAGATGGTTGAACATAGTCAAGAACAAGACGCACCAATTCCTCCACCACCTTGGAGGTCACGGCCGGGGGCGTGATGATTGAGACCGCAAGGTCAGCGGGGGACGCCTGCTCGGGAAACAGAAACCCGAAATTGATGTCATGAAGGCGGTGCTACGCGCTTGATGCCCAGGTTGGACAGCATCGGCTTGTCAATGGTCCTGGGGGCGGAAGGGAGAGGCGCGCGTGGGGGAGAGGGGACCAGTGTATCACTGACCACCGTGTGGTTGTGAAGAAGGTCGAGCGCTGAGGTCACGCAAGGTCGCCCCTCTATTTCTGGAGCCTTGGGGTTCACTGGCGTCACCTTTTCGGGCCCAACATGCCGCATCAACGCGCGAGCCACCTAAGGTCACACCAGATGACCATTCCTCTGAGAAAGGACACGTATACCTGGTACCCCGTATCTGGCGAAAGCGAAAAGCAAGGGGAAAAGGCCACAACCCCTTGTGTGAGCGCCGGAACGTACCTTATTGCCAAACTTGCTGCGATCGGTGCTCGCACCCACGACCGCAAAGTGGAGGCATTGAAAGAATTCACGGCGAGCCATTGTGCTTGACACGCGCTAGACGTGCGAGGCCACCCACGAGTGTATGTGCAGCCCAGCCAGACCGTGGGCCGAGCTCATCAAGATGAAGATGAAAGGACGATCGCCAGTTCGGTGAGCAAACACAATGAACACAAAGAAGAAGAAGAAAATGTACTACACGTAACATGGGAGTGTGTGTGTGTGTGTGTGTGTGTGTGTGTGTGTGTGTGTGTGTGAAGGGAGGGCTTGGAGGTGAAGAGCTTGTGAGGCGGTGACGATGAAGCCGTTTGTGGTTCGCC